GCAAGACTGTGGAATCACACATCTGTACCTCTGAAACAGTGTAATTTTTTCTTAATCTTTAGCTAATATCAGCCACACTGAAAGAAGGGTAGCTTTGCAGGGGGAGATAGGGAATTCCAGAACATAAACTATTTTGCAGGGAGAAAACAGGCTGGACTAAACTATCATTAAAAAGGTAAAGGCAGATTGAAGACATTCCAGAGAGAGAAGCAGTTAAAATAGTCACTGATTCCTGAGGCCCAGCTGTATCTCTGCCTAGGGTTCTGTAAAATCTCGTGGGGTCTTTGTAACAGTTATCCTTTTGTTTAAGTGGAAAAAAAAAAAAATCAACCAAATGGCTTGTTTCTGTTAGTTATAACCAAGACTACTAACTAATAGAACAGGTGATACATACAAGACTGTGCAACTTAGTATTATTGAGGAACAACTTATTCTGGTTAAGTAAGGTATTCAGGTAAGTAAAAATTTTATAGATATCTTACCCACTCTCTGCACCCCATTGTCATTGAATGCAGTTTGACATTTTATTTTACAAAATAACTGTGTATTTATCATTGCATTCAATTAAATTCTGATCCTTGTGCTTTTTACTATTTATCTTGGAAAGTTTGAGACATTTTCAATCTACATATGAGGATATTAACAGTTCAATGTGGGCTCATTGTTTTTTAGCATGAATGGCCTGTAGGCATCATTCTGCAGTTTTGCACAGAAGAAATGGAGGTAAGGAACTTTCTAGGAGGTCTTTATGTGCAAAAGCTGAAAAAGGTGTTTGTCTTATGGTTTGAATTTGCTCCTGGGACCAATCAAAGGAACTGCTGTATGTAATTTTGACTTTGGTTTACCTTGGGCTTCCCACAGTTACAGCAATCTGTACTCAAATTCAAAAATATACCAGTGTAAACCTTAGGACTTTGCCAGAACTTTCTAGAAAGAGGTAACAATGTAAGTGGAGGCCTGAGTTATTTAGCTGGGCCTTGAGATATGGCTGGGGTTTTCACTTTTAGAGATGGAAGAAGTGGATAGTAGTATCACTGTCAAACATTGGAGTTTCACCAATCAGGATCTTTGAGGGAGCCCTTCTCCACTTGACCAGGCTCATTTCATCAACAAATGTGCAATGGGGCTCTTCTCTATGCTATCACAAAAATGTAAGTTTAATTTATTTTAATTCTTTCTTGTCATTGATAGTTGGCTATTCATATATTCTGATTTTTACAGAATTGGGTACATAATGTTTAATAATATACTTCAGCAGATATACCTAGCAACAATGTTGTTTATGTTCCTAAACTTGCTCTCATAATTTTAATTGCATTTTATATTATGTTGCATGAATTATATCTAGGAACTCAGAGTTATATATTTATTAACTTATAGTCAGTAAATGATGGTCAGCCACCACTGACCCTAACTTATCATTTTATTTTATTGGATGGTTGTATATATTTAATGTCAGGTTACTTCTCTACACACTTGCCTTTTTTCCTAAGTTGTCTTTAAAAGTATTACGGTTTGGGGGCACCTGGGTGGCTCAGTCGGTTAAGCGTCTGCCTTCAGCTCAGGTCATGATCACAGGGTCCTGGGATGGAGCCCTGTGTAGAGCTCCCTGCTAGGGGGTCTGCTTCTCCCTCCCTCTCTGTCCCTCCCCCTGCTCGTGCTCTCTCTCTAATAAATAAATAAAATTTAAAAAAATAATAAAAGTATTATGGTTTTATCACTTTATAAATACAGAAATCAGTGGTCTGAAGTGTGGAGTTTACATAGATTTAAAACACTGAAGAATCCTTAGCTGCCTTAGGGGTAGTTTGAATTTTATTTGCAATATAAGTACATGCTTCTTATCACTTTGTTTAAATTCTGATCTTAGTTCTTTTTCATAAATTTTCTGAAAAATAAGTAGTTTCAGGTGACAGGTGGGGAAATTAATCATCTGGCTGAGCACATGTCACACCGAATGCTCTTCAGCTTCTACAGTCAGTTATCACTGAGTGCAGCCTGGCATTTTGTTACACCAAACAATTGTGGTGTGATATCCTTTTATTATTCGACTAAAATGGGAACCAAAAGCTTTATTTGAACTATTATCTCCTTTCAATTTACAAATAAGGAAAGTAATTGGCCAGGAGAGTACCTTAAAACCATTAAAACTCTTTAATAATTTTAATGGAAATGTTTTGATGTAAAACACACTTTCCTGCTTCCCTAAACAGAATATGGTATACAATACACACTAAGACTTTTTCATATTGACTCAAAGTTACCAAAATGGTCAAGTATTTTACTCAGCTTTAATAGTGCAAAGTCTTCAGGAACTACTAGGAAATAGATACATATATAAATATACATACATACATACATACATGTATATATCTATTCTTATGATGAATACACCCCATACTACTGTGCTTTCTCAGCTGCCATTTATCACTTTTATTATTGTCAGTACGCTATTGATTCTAATCTTCCTTATCTCATACATAATTGTGTCATTCGTGGTTTCCAATTTTTTTTGGTTTGGCAATGGTCCATTTTTTAAAACGAAATCTTACATGAATTCCAACATACAAACTGAATGAATATGGATTTCTGCTGCGGAAGTGGAATGGGAGCCAGTGTCCTGCTGCTAAGCCTCTATACCAGGTCTTCAGAGCAGAACACCGAGGTACCTGATGAAACCCCAGGCCACCATCAAATAGTTTAATACCACTTGTCAAACCTAAGAGTGACTTCCTCTATTCTGAAGGATAAACTTTTTTAGAAAATGTTACCTTGTACCTTGTGCAGAAGGCAACAACAACAGAAACATCCATGACCTCATTACTCAGTAACTTCAATTATTGTAACAAACACAAATGGAAGTAAAACACATGTAAGGTTCAAACGTTCAAATACAGAAAGGTAAAAAAGGAAAAGAAATGCCTTCCTCAGTCTTGTGCATACCCTGTATTGTACCAAAACCCTTCTCCTCAAAGGTAACCATTATTAAATTACCTATAATTCCTTCCATAATGTATATGAGTGTGGATGTCTATGTGTGTAGGAATATATGTGTGAATAAATCTTTTTAAAATAAGACTTTATACATATAGAAGCTATTAGATGTTACACATTTTATTTTTTTACCTAATAATATATCAGCAATCTTTTTTAAAATTAATTTTTCACAGTTGTATTTCACATAATTGAGTTAACTCCCAGATCAGCAGAATGTGCTACTTAGGATATGACTGGTTGTGTTTCTACTGTCTGTGTCTGAGCATAATAAGAAGAGAAGCATGGTGCCTTTCCCATAAACATCATTTATTCCATGATATACCTGCAGTGGAACACTGTCCTCAAAATAATGTAGAAAATAGCTATGTTATATGTCACTAGAACAGAACTTAATCGGCAGGTAGGTATAACAATGTTTCTATAGAATAATGTATTTAGGGTTCCAACTTGGAAATGGAAATACCTCTTTAGAGGTAGAATGGCACAGTGGGAAAAGTATGGGTTTTAGTCTCAAAGGACCTGAATTTTAATGCAGGCATGTCACTACTAGTTTTATCATTTTGAGCAAGTTACTTAACAAAGGTTCAGTTTCTCATATATAAAAAGAAGATAATGGTATGTATTTCTCAGGTTGTTCTATGGATCAAATGCATACAAAAGGCACTGTTAAATCCCTTTTCATTCCCCTACAAAGAGATTAGGATTTCTTGATTAGCTTCAAACTCCTGATGGACTGACTATAGGAGAGGTTGGGGCAGGGAGTAGACAATGGAGTAGAGATTTGGGAGACAAGGATTTAGGTATTCTTGTGCCCTAATTACTGTCTTTTTTTTTTTTTCTCTCATGGATACAGGAATTGGCCATCTCCTTTGCTTTAATTTCTACCATTTGCTGCTTTCATTTAGAGTTGCAACCCCACTCCCACCTTTCCCTAGTCAATTAGAAGATAGAATTTAGTCCTGGTTTCTCCCCCTAGAGTTACAGGGTTAAAAAATACCTGATATAAAAACAAACACCTGAAGATTGACTTCTAGAATAGCAGAATGAAAACCTCAGGGAACTCACTCTCTCTCTAAAACAATGAAAATACAGGCAAACAAACAATTTCAGGACTCTGGCATTTAACAAAAACCAAAGAATGAACTGAAAAATCCAAGAGAAATTACTGAACTTCAGTGCCCTTGAGAAAAACAGCAGCCCAGGCACCTGAGGTAGAGTATGGCCCGGGTATCACACAATTAATGAAAATACCAGTTCCAATCCTGTTTCTACTGGTTAAGGGACCAATGACCTTTACTTTATCCCACTGAGTTTCATGAAGTTCATCTTATTTTTTCCTTAACTACCTGTGAGAATTAAATAATGTAATATGAACAAAACACCCATGAGTTGATGGGCAAAAGTTACTTACCTAAAAAAACTTGCTAAATCCAACATTTCTACCTTAAACACACAAGATGTCATCCTATTTGCAACCAAATCATGTAAAAGCTTTAGACTTGTTCCAACAATGTGTCTTACCTTTCCATGTAATTATTATGCATTAAAACTTCTAAAAATAGTGACAATAGGCCAAAATTTTAACTTGACATAAATCAAAATGACAATATTGAAATTGTTCAATAAAGCATTTTTCTGCACTGGGCCTTAATCTTCCAGTATGTTTCTCAAAGGATGATTTCTCCTCCTTCCTCGATATCAGTGCAAGCTGTCCCTCATACCTCATTGCTTTAGAGCACCCATTCCTACAATTATAATGTCTTTCTTCCTCTATTTCAAAACAGCATTTTAAAAAATCTTAACTCAAACTATCCAATCATACTGTTCTATAAATTTACAGGCTCCCAAACATATACACAGTGTTGCAGTATAAAGGATTTACTTGGATTTTACTTTTAAATCATCAAAAATAGCAAATAATGACTTTTCTTAATTTGAATTAAATTGCATGGGGGAAAAAAGATAAAATATAGTACATATTTTTACTAAGAATAAACTCATACCTTAGGAGAAGTGGAGAGATCTCTTCCTGCAGAAATAATGGTGTTTTCATTTACTCCTCCTGTCTTTGGTGAGATGGCTGGCGGGGCTGGAGCTTTTCTTTTCACTCTACTTTCAGTTTCCAGTTCTTGAATTGGAGTTACCAAATTATTTGGAGGAAGAGTTGGTTTAGGTTCATAAAAAGGATTAGATCTAAATGAAAGAAGAATTATTGTTAAATGTTACTCTAAAAACAGTTCATTCCTAGCTAAAATAAGAAAAAAATAAAAATTTATGAAAATTTATAAAACTAAAAAATACTGAAAATGATAAGGAGAAACCCAAACTAGTGATAACCTACAATTTAGAAACAATCACTATTACTTTATTGTTTTGTTAATCACTGACAATAAAATTTTTCCCTTTTAAAAAGTATTTTTAAATTTTTTTCATACAAGGTCACACTTAGCTCTATTATATATAGATCCTTAGAAAAATGTTTATAGTAATAGTAAATCCTATATACTCCCCACACCCAAGGAAAAGGAAATAAGATGTGGAAATATTGATTTGCTTTCTTATGCGCCCCACATCAAACATTTTTTTTTCCTGTGCTTCATTCCTTCTCATTAAGATGAAATGCCTTTAGAAGTTCATTCAGCAAGGTTCTGTTAATAGTAAATTCTCCCAGGTATTGAAAATGTCTTTATGTCACACTTAAATGATAATTTAGCTAGGTAGAGAATTCTAGTTGTCAGTTAATTCATCTCAGCACTCTGACGATATTAGCCCACTGTCAGCCTACTCTTGCTCTTTTATAAGTCATCTTTTATCTTTGGTTGCTTTTAGGATCTTCTTTTTTCTTCCAGTTTTGAGCAATTTTACTATGATATGTGTAGGTGTGGATTTCTCTTAATTTATCCTGTTTCAGGCTCCTTCTATCTCCTGAGTCTGAAGATGTATGTTTCATTAGTTCTGAAAAATTATCAACCATTATCTTTGATAGCCTCTTCTCTATTTTCTCTATTCTCTTCTTTAGAAAATCTTATTAGATGTATGTTGAATTATCTCTCTCCTTCATATTTTTACAAATTTTCATTCCTACTGTGTTATATTCTGGATAATTCCCTCACATCTATGATCCAGTTAACTTTTTCTCTCTTCATCTGTGTCTAATTTACTGTTTAATTCTCCATGAATTTTTAATTCTGATAAGCATTTTTCTTCATGCGGCTATGTGTAAAATACCTCAGGTACAGAGATTTGAGTCATCATTTAAACATATTTATTTCAGAGTCTCAATCTGATAAATCTATTCAAGTTCTTGCATGTACAATTCTAGTGTTTCTTTTGTCTCCTGATTTTCTCTTGGTATACTGTTTCCTTGTATGATTTATAATTCTAGATTTCAAGTTCAGGGCTTAATCTGAGGAAATCCTGCATGGTCTGAGCTGGGAGTGCCTCTCTTCACTGTTTATGTTTGTATTTACTGAGTGCTTCAGAAGCCATTTTATTGCTATTTTCTTGGCTTGGAGGATCTCAGGCTACCCTACCAATATAATGTCAAATCCATAGAAGATTTGGGTGGGCCTATGTGCTTATAACTTCTCTGGGAAGACTTTTTTTTTTCTTTTTTTCCTCTACCTACAGTCTAGGCCCAGGCAAAAAACCTTCCTTGTTAAGTCCTTTTATGAATAGATGAGTTTTTTTCTCATTAGTTATCCATAAACACAAGTATTTGGTGTATGTGATGATTATTCTTCCTATAAACTGTTATCCTGGTTTTTATTTATTAGTTTGTTGCATTTTTTCCCCAACAGTGGTTGGTTCTCTAGAATCCTATGTGTAAAGAATAAAATTTCTGAGTCCACAAGGTTAAGTACCAGCTGACCCAAATATAGTGATTATTCCAAGGGAATTCCACCTAGTCATATAAGGCCTATACTGTTGATAACCCTCTGTTTCAATTATGAATGCTCTTTTAACTACAACAGTATCAGACTCACTTAGAACCAATACCAATTATGTACTCCTTTGCCTAAGAATTTATACATAGACAGTCAAATCATGAGACTGAGTACCAAGGAGATATGGATCAGAGATGGGAAATATATCATACTTGTGATGTCATTCTTATGCTATACTCCTGGCAACAATTAGTGTCACGGGATTCCTTCCATTGAGCTAGGGTATACCATAGAATCTCTTTCAACTCTGCTCAAGTAGTTGCTTTTAACTGAATGGAGTTGGCATTTACAAAGAAACCTATTTCCTGTTCTTCCTCTACTTATAAGAATAAGAACAGGAAACAGATATATACTTGAAAATTTGCTTTTCAGACAAAATATTCTTGCCTAGTAAGTGATCAAGATATGCATGAAGTATTTACATCCCATGTTTACAACCTGGAGAAGAACTTGGGGATATCAAAGTAAGGAACAATGTTAAAATAACTAGGTGTTCAGAAAACCTGAACATTCTCTCTGAAAAGAGATATGAAAGGTATCACATCTAGCCTAGAATGGAGGGCTTGCCAATAACATTATTAACTAAGATTAATAAAGTGTTTATGCTGTGCTAGGCACTATTTTAAGTAATTCACATGTTTTAACCCATTTAATCCTTACAACAAGCTTGTGTCTTGGCCTAATTTTATTGATAGCCTCATACAGCTGTTTTTCAAACTCTAAAAGTAGTTTGAAGGGAGGTAAATGTAAAGAAATAAGATGAAAACATTTTTCTTAAAACTCCAAAACTTAAAAAAGAGAAAAATCTTTTTCCCCCCAAACTTAACTACTTGCCAACTAATGTTACATGTTTCAGAACTGAACAGACCCATTTCAATCTAACTGAATTAATTCAGTTATATGAATTATTTAGGTGATATTCTAAAAAATTGTTCTTGGTTAGGTCTCTCTAGAATGAACTTCCATAGCAGTTTGTAAGATGGTAGCTGCCACAATAATCATTATTTTTAATTTGTTGCATAAATATGGCTAGTTTTAAGAAAACATAAGTGTTAGAGGATATTTATATTATGAAAGGATTTGTGCTTCAAAGAAAACAATGTCAGAATCTCAAAACAGGTATGATTCAGTACACTTTAACTTAATTTACAATACTCAGTTGCATGCAATTTTTATAAAACATATCTAGTATGTATACAAAAGTAACTAGATATTGTCCTTTTTCTTCCTATCTCTGCTTCAAACCACTTGGGTCTCCGTCTAACCACTTGAATATTAGTATTCTTGTCAAAAGAAGGTAAATGCAAGTAGAAAAGAAGCTCATAATCAGCTGATTTCCAAAGTTGGATCATAAGACTCATATTCCTAGAAACATAATCAAAACAGGTATTTTCTTGAAATAATTAGAGCTATGTTTCTCAATCTGTTTTACCCTATGACATGTAGTAAAAATGAAATTTGTATGTTATACTATCATAAAAACATAGGAAGCTGCTGGAAAATCAGGGTACCAGGGACTCCAGCTGCCCTGGACCATGCCTCACCACCAGAAGGACTAGAGGAATGAGTGTGTCTGCATACACTTATAATCTATTGGTGAGAAAACAGTGTGCTAGGTACCACCACTTGCTAGGTACTAAATCAGAATAAGACAAGCTTCTACTTCTAAGGGCTTTGAATAATCCTCCCTATGGATCAGACATCTCTAACTAAAACTGAATTTCCTACTCTTTAAGAATAAACAGGATATGATTTTATTTATGTGATACTCAAATCTGTATGGGCAAAAGGTAGATTGTTTTCAGGAGATAGGGGAGGGGAGGAACTGAAACTAATAGGTAAAGGATTTCTTTTTGGGGTGACAAAAATGCTCTGGAATTAGACTGTGGTGATGGCTGCACAACACAGTGAATTCGCTAAGAACCAGTGAAGTGTACACTTTATTTTTTTTTTTTTTTTTTTTTTTTTTTTTTTTTTTAAGATTTTATTTATTTATTTGAGAGAGAGAGAATGAGAGACAGAGAGCATGAGAGGGAGGAGGGTCAGAGGGAGAAGCAGACTCCCTGCCGAGCAGGGAGCCCGATGCGGGACTCGATCCCGGGACTCCAGGATCATGACCTGAGCAGAAGGCAGTCGCTTAACCAACTGAGCCACCCAGGCGCCCGAAGTGTACACTTTAAATATGGAATTTTATGTCATGTGAAGTATATCTCAATAAAAAAAAGTGCTATTAAAAAAGTGAATAGTAGGGGCGCCTGGGTGGCTCAGTTGTTAAGCGTCTGCCTTCGGCTCAGGTCCTGATCCCAGGGTCCTGGGATCGAGCCCCGCATCGAGCTCCCTGCTCAGTGGGAAGCCTGCTTCTCCCTCTCCCACTCCCCCTGCTTGTGTTCCCTCTCTCACTGTGTCTCTCTCTGTCAAATAAATAAATAAAATCTTAAAACAAAAGGTGAATAGTATATACTGTGCTACAAAAAAGTGAATATATATATAGTATATATGGTTATGAACATACTCCCTTCTCTATAAAAATAAGTTATATAATTACTGATCAAAGCATTTTTAAAAATACTTAATATTTTTAGTAAAGAAAAATTATTTAAGGAACTAGCATAATTTCCACATTCCATTGATCATCTATGATTTGAATAACCTATTTCAGGACTTCCTACATCACTTTGAATAAGCAAAGATTATTTTCATCTTTGTATTATATACTTGAGTAATAGATTAGTTGTCTCATTAACTCACTGTGAACTAAAAATTCATCATTTACATTAAGTGGAAAACTGGACAGAATAATTTCAAATGACATTATTCACTGCTTAGAAAATAATTCATCCAAGAAAAAGAATTACAGAAAGAAAAACTGTAAGTTGATTAGAAAAAGGATTAACCTACTGAAAAAATAATAAAATATGAAGCAAGGGAATAGTGAAATCTGAAGTCTGTTCCTCTCACCTGAAAATTTATGTTTCTTTGGACAAACCTTTGAATAAAATTCAAAGACAACTTTCCTTCGGAAACTGACATACAACCATACCAGAAATGATTTTATGCTGGATCTCAAAAATCATTTCATAAATGTTTGAAAAAATATTATTGGTTTCTCAGTTTTCATTTTTTTTTTTAATTTTTTTATTCTTATGTTAATCCCCTTACATTACAACATTAGTTTTAGATGAAGTGTTCCATGATTCATTGTTTGTGCACAACACCCAGTGCTCCATGCAGAATGTGCCCTCCTAA